CCTAAACCATCTTTCAAGGCATGTCAGTAGAACGGTGTTATATGACATGTGTGGCTGTGCCTACTAACCATATGCAGGATTGGAGGATGGCAAAGATGATTACCCAAGCAAGGAGGACTGGAAAATATTACTATCTACAGTGGGCATATAATGGGCATTTAATTTTTTTTCCTTTTTTTTAAAAAAAAAAAAAAAAAGCCACTAATATCTCAGAGGCCTACTGGGTAGAGTTTGTATATTCCATATATTTATTGAAAGACAGTACATGATAGGACCCTTTATTAAACAGAATTATAGAATTCTCTGATAGGTCCATGCAGTGCTGCAGCTTTGCTGTAGTAAAGCCAACTCTGTTATAATCAGGGTTGCAGTCTCAGTTAAGTCAACTGACAGCTAAACAATTTTAATTTCCCACTCTCCAATAGTGCCAAAACTGTAACCCTAAATGATAGCCTCATCTATTCCACCAATTTCTCATGCTTTAGGACATAGCCAAATGCCATACCAGACCTTCCCCTGATCACTCACTCAGAGGCAGTCACTTCTTGTCCTGAATTCCCATCCCATTCTTGGAGTGCAGCTTAGTCAGTCTCTTAAATAATGAACCACTCTTTAGTTACTGGCTTTAATGCTGCCAACTCTCTGACAAAGATAGGGAGGGTCTTGTGATCTTAGCTATCTAAGACCCTGGAGTTTACATGTCTTCTATCATAGAATTGATCTTGAAGGCTTTGACCTGGAATTTTCCAGGCAAATTCCATGAATGTAGCATACTAGTCAAAAGTGTTAGGAATACTGATACAGAACGAGATGACTGCCACGGATGGTGGTACCAGGCGGTAGGTCCCTCAGCAGGCAAGGGACAGCAGGTGGACAAACACACCATCAGGCAGAACTTACATGGAAAGGAAGTTTTGCTGGGAAGGGCTTGGGGGAAGAGAGAGAGAGAGAGGGGAGAGAGAACAGACAGGGATCTGTCTGCCACCTCAGGGAGATGGTGGGACAACAGAGGGCAGGTGGGTGGAATTTGCCTCTTAAAGAGCCAGGGTACAAAGTACACCAGCCATCCTCACAGAGGAATGGCGCACTATGCCAGGGTCCCAAGGGATGGAGCCAAGTTTACCTGAATTAAAACAAAGATGCAGAGGTGTAATGGCCTCATGTATTCCTGCCCACCCCCCATCTCTCCTGATGCTTGCTTGGGACAGTGAGGAGACTAGGTTTTCATGGTTTTCTAAGAGAAAAGCAAAAGACACATCTCCACAGTCCAAAGGGATTTTGAGCAAGATGTTCTAGCAATGTTAATGGCCTTGCTGCCTTGTTTGTAGTTTATCTCTTCTCCCTTCTTTATCTGGGTCTATCCTGGAACTCACCAATTAGGTTAGCAGCCAGCAAAACCCAGTAATCCTCACGTCTCTACCTCCCCAGGATGGGAATTACAAGACACACCACTTCTTTTTCCCTCCCTCCCTTCCTCCCTTCCTTCCTTTCTTCCTTGTTGTGGGGATTGAACTCAGGTCCTCATCTTTACAAAGTAAACAGTATGACTTGAATTCTCCCAGCCCCCATATATATTTACATTAAATATATATTATAGTATAATATATAACTAAACATGTATAATAACCACATATAGATATCTTATAGGCATACACACAAAAAATAAAAATAAGCCCTTAGAAGTTTAAAATTTATTCTAATTATTTGCATAGCAATAAAATAAAAACTTAGAATGTATCTTTGTGAACATTTTGCTTTTGGTGCAGTGTTCTTTTTCTAGCTATAAATGATTAAATCTAGTATAAATTAAAGAAGTAAATTAAAAACCTAGGTTTCCTCTGAAATAGTGCTCTGTAAGTTAGGTACCTTAAGACACTGTTGACATATTTGGGGGATTATCCATCCATTGCTACCTGCAATGAAATGTCTTCTCCTCCCTTCCCAAGACACATGCCTCCCCCTTCCCTTTGTTATGTGTACCTTTCCCATAGAGTGTTAAAGTGGTGTGGTGAGATCTTGTTTGTACTCTAACAAGTAAAGCTTGCCTGCAGATCAGAGGGTGGAGCTAGCCATTAGCTAACCATAGAGGTCTGGAGGTCTATGCAGACAGACAGGAAGTGAGGTGACTGGGTGGAGAGAGGAATAAAGGCCGGAGGAGACAGGAACTCAGTCTCTTTTCAGTCTGAGGATTTCGTAGAAGTAAGAGCTCTAGTGGCTGGCTGCTCTGCTTCACTGATCTTCAGGCAACCTTTATTTGTTAGAGTATAATGTAGTAGACAGTTTGTTTTTCAGGCAGGAAGGAAACATTAATTCTGTCATCTGTGGGCTTCATGTTATTTATAGATTTTTTTGTAGTTCTTCACAATCAAGTTTAGCAAGTTCTCTTGTATTTCTAGCTGGCTGAGAGCTCTTACTATGAATGGACTAAATGGGTTTTCTTTTGTTTTTGTTAAAATATTTTTGGCTTTTTCCATTATTTTGTTACTGTAGTAAACTGATTCCTGAGTGGTTGCTAACCTCCAGTTACTGTGTAGAGTGAACTCCATTTCCGGTGGTTGTACTTTGCTGAATTACTGAAATGGATTTTACATCTATATTTGGATGTTACAGACACTGGCATATAGTTTTGTTTTTCTTGATTTGTCCTTATCTGTGTTTGGGATCTGTGTAACATTAACATTTGATTTGGTAATCATGTTTTTATTTCTTCATGAAGAACTACCAACAGCTAAGTATGTGCACTGTAGTCAGGAGTCCATGGCCTGCCGCCTCTACATGGTTTGAACCCAGCTTGTGTTACAAGAGACCCTGTCTCAAAAAACAAACAAATCTCAACAGTTTCTAATAAGGTCTCTCTCACCAACTACCAGTCACCAGTTAGGAAAAGAGAATTTCTAACTAAGCAGGATTTATATATTAAAGCTCTAAAAACAGAGATAGATATCCTTGGATATTAGCAGGAATTTTAGAAACATATCCTTAAAAAGCAGGATGGAAAGATGTTGGCTAAAGAACAATGCAGCTATACTGATTTCTAATTGAGCACTGAGTGAATTATTGGCATCTAGAGGGATGTGGTATGTTCTGTCCTTTTCCTCTTTTTAAATCAGCAAGTTGGATGAGAACAAATTGATGGTGCTCTCACTAATTCACAGGTGATGTTAATCTGCTATATACATCTCTGATAAGTTTAATGACAAGTGTCAGATTTAGTTAAGAAAATGCTCTAAATGAGATAAATGGCATCTCATTCATCAGGTAAATTTAGTAAAATATATTTGTAAACTCCCTTTATATCCCTGCAGAATTCAGCAATACAGTCATCTCTCTGCAGCAAATTAGTTCTTGCCTAGAACTCCTCACCCCTCCTTAATATAAAATGGCATTTAACCTATACATATCCTCTATATACTTTAACTTCTTTAGGTTACTTACAATAATCATCATAGTGTGTTATTTAAGGAATAAGGATAAGGTAGAAAGTCTGTACACCATCAGTACAGGTGTAGTGTTTTTCTTAATCTCTTTCCTTTTTTTTTTTTTCCTCTTTCCAGGGTTTCTCTAAGTAACCCTGGCTGTCTTGGAGCTCACTGTGTAGACTAGACTGGCCTCAAACTCAATGATCTGCTTCCTGAGTGCTGTGTGCACTATCACACCCAGCTTTAAATGTCTTTAAAGATTTTATTTTATAATGTACATGGGTGTTTTGCCTGCACCTAGGTCTGTATAGCACATGTGTGCATTGTCTACGGAAGCCAGAAGGGGACCTCATGGCTCCTGGAACTGGAGTCACAGACAGGTGTGAGCCACCAGGGGGGTGCTGGGAGTCAAGCCTGGGTCCTCTGGAAGAGCACCGGTGCTCTTAACTGCTGAGCCATCTCTCCAGCCCCTTAATATGTTTGCTGTGTTGTTGCTTGAAAATAGAAGTCCAGTTCTGCACTATAAAAAGTAGAGTTCCAAAGCCCATCTAATGACATAGATTATTCCCACTGAATTTAAGAAAAGCAATATTCAGAATTATATTTACAGTAGATGATTGTATTCACCATGTCCAATTTTGAAACAATTCCTGATTTTGTATTAAAGTATAAGCACATGCAAATTCTAACAGTAGTTCTAGATCATATGATAAGGAGTGGTTTTCTTTAGATTTTGTTTCTTTACTTCCAAATGTTTTATTGTAGGTGTGCTTACCTTAAATATACATATTGAATACATTTTGTTATTTATTGTTTGGCAATGTCGTGAGTGTATATATTTTGGTATTTGATGTATATACTTTTTTATTGTTTGGCAATGTCATGAGTGTATATATTTTGGTATTTGATGTATATACTTTGATCCTATCCAACGCGAATCCTCTCCCCACTTCCCCAGGACCAGCGCTCCATTCTCCTCCCCCTCTCACCTTCATGTCGTCTTCTCTTTCTGATGGACATGTATTCTTTGAGAGTCTCACACATGTATGCTGGTGTTTTGATGATATTCCCTCCCTGCTCCACCTCCAGCTTTCCCAAACCCTCCCCAATAAATATATCCTGCTGCCTACTTCGTGTCCTCTTAATTTTTAATAATTCCCTGAATCCAGTGAGTGCCTGTCATCAGTGCATAGGTGTGGGGTCATGAGCTGGAGCTTGGGCAAACTACCAGTGGCGGCCACACAGGAAGAGACATAGCTGCCAGGGACCCTCACCCAGACTGTCCTACGACACCTTCCTCTGCTGAGCTCACTGTCGTCCTCTGTTCCTCCACATGGGGCTGCGTGTATGCACTGAGTGTGAGGCCATGTGCTGCAGCATGGGCAACCTGAGTTTTTATGACTACATTCAAGTGTTCATAATCTGGAAGTATGTTCATTTAAATTGCTACAGCAATTGCTTCATCTCTCATTTATCTGTAATTATAGTCACCATGCTTCAAAAGTCATGGCTGACTGGGATGCTGTCAGGTGTATTACTGTTATCTCAATGTTTTTTCTTTTCTTTTCACCCTTTATTAAGGTTGAATTAATAAAAGGGAATTTACAAAGTGTTGGACTTACACTTCGTCTTGTTCAGTCAACTGATGGTTATGCTGGGCATGTCATAATTGAAACTGTGGCCCCAAACTCACCTGCTGCCATTGCAGACCTTCAGCGAGGAGATCGGCTCATTGCTATTGGAGGTAATTACACACTGAGAAGTATAACTTTCGTGTACAGAGAAACTACAACCTATACCTCAAACAGGCATCTGTTAGTTTTATGACAGAAAAACATCATTATAAACAGAATTGTAAAAGATACCCTAATGTGCTTGTAAAACATTTGCCAAGTTAGTCCTAATCTCTAAATCTTTAACATATTTCATCCTTAAACCACGTTACTAGAACCTCTCTTTTTTTCCCTTCCCACCTTCTCTGTGCTTATTATTGAATGTAAAATTAAGAGTAAGTAATTCCTTCTTGTACATCCATCACCACTATGACCTTAAATATGCTGATATTAGCACCACTGGCATCTTGTTGTAGGACTAGAAAGTTAATAGGAGAGAGACTAATATTCTTTTCCTAAGAGGAAGGGTGCACCCAACACTGTTCTGAGGCTCCATACTATATAAGAGGCCAGTGGTTTGTTAATATGCTGTTACTCAGAATCCAACCCAAATCTGTTGTAAATATGTAACCTTCATACTACATACCTTCCTGCTAGCTAGATTGTTATAAATAATAAAAACAAAAACCAGGCAAGTTATTTGCTAGAATGTATATACCTAACAGCAGGGCTCAACTGTGCACAGCAGCACAGAAATAATCCAGGCCTTTTCAGACTTTGTAGTACCTGGCCCACCTGTTTTAGGCTTTGAACGAACAAAACTGTATATAATGTTCTTTTAAGAATATATTGTGTTCTTTCATGGCTAAGACAATAAAGTAGAGTAGGTCCCAATAAAAAGTAGTTATCCTTGGTTACACTAGAGAAACACTGCATTTGTTTGAAACCCATCTTGACATTGAGATAATGGAAACGATTTAGTTATGCACCTGGGGGCCAATGAAGTTAGCATTGTCATGTGGAAACCCCTCTGCTCATGTTATGCACAGTGCCTTTCACACCACAGTCACCATGCAGAGTATTCAGAAGTCATTCTTATTCAGAAAACCTGGGTGGAGTCCAAGAATCTGCCTCTCTCTCTCTCTCTCTCTCTCTCTCTCTCTGTCCCTCTGTCTCTCTCTCTCTCTCTCTCCCCTCTGTCCTCTGTCTCCTCTCTTTTTGTTTGGTTTGTGTGTGTTGTGGGGTTTTGTTTTGTTTTGTTTTTTCATGTTTGTTTGGTTTTCAAGATAGGGTCTCCACCTGGCAATAATCTGCATTTCTAACAAGCTCCCTAGTTCATTTTAGTGCTCCTGGTTCATGTACACTTAAGAGGACATAAAGTAGACTTTGTCCATTACATAGCTCTGTCTATATATTTTGCCTCCTTTAGCCAAAACCAGGGTTCAGTAGAAATGCTTTTGCATTAATATTCTGTTTTGGTCTTACCTACAGGTTATTTTTAATTATTTCTTTAACTTTTAAATGGTTCTTTTAAGTTCTATTTTCAATTACACAAGTAGAAAATACCTATTACCCAAAGTAAATAAGTCTAAGCCATACAAATATTAACAGAGAGAAAAGCAAAAATTACCTTTTCAAGATATCCAACAATAAAAATAAAAGTACAAATTTTATTGATTAAAAAGTCAGATATTATACACATTTGTTGCTAAAGTTTCAAACATAATGGAAAAGCTATTTTTTTATTTATTGTGTGTGCATGTTTTATCTGCACATGTAACTGTGCATCTCTTGTATGCAGTGTCTTCAGAGGCCAGTAGAGGGTGGTGTCACCTTTCCTGGCACAGGAGGCACAGAGGATTATGAGCCACAATGTGGACCTTAGGAGTCAAACTCCATCCTCTGAAAAAGCAGCACTCCCAACTGCTGAAGCTGTCTCTCCAGCGCCACAGAATTCAAGCCCTACAATATATTTTTAGTAACTCTTCTTTCTTTACATATGCAATAAACTTTGCCCTATGTTATTAGGTATTTCTTAAATTGTAATTCATTTGGATTTGCAATAGTTTTAGTAATAGGATATTAGTAGTCGTAGAAATAAAATTGTTTTGTTTAGGTTCAAAACTAGAGTTAATTTTGCTGCATTCTAAATTTCTGAGCATGTTTGAAATATCCTTGTGGGGGGGATCCAGATTCCAGATTTAGATGAGCAAACCTGGTGTAATGAATGAGGGCAAGTTTCCTATGCACAGTTAGAGAGGTGGGACTGCGATGAAGCCTTTGATTACTTACTATTGCTAATTAGATGATGCTTCATTTGTGCATGTGTCGAGTTGCTGTGCTTCCGGGTCATAGTATTCTTGGATTGAAGTAGTAAAATTTTTAAGCTGAGTCAGGAAAAGCACCATGAGGAAGCCCAGAATTCCACTGGGAAACCTGGCAGCATAGGCATCACAGCAGAAAAGGTCTGGTGAGACATTGCAGTTAAAGGCTGTTTATGACTGTGGTCTAGGCCAGTGATAGGAGGAGGAAGAGCAGAGTACCACATCTCGAGGACCAGAGCTCTGAGTTGGGAATGGCAGCTGAGTGAGTGGG